CACTTCCTTCCGAGCTCACACCAGGCATTCCCGAAGTCCCATATGTTAACATTTCGTTTGAGGCAATATAGGCCTTACTATCTTGCCCCTCAAAATTCTTCAGGTGAGAACAGGGAGGGCCATCTTAGGTCTCTGTCCCCCACAGTGTGCAGCAGAGGTCAGCTGGGGGCTGGAGATGCTGTGAGGGGCAAGGAGGCTGCAGGGAACAGCCTTGGGTGGCAGCAGTAGCCACTTAGTATTGTTTGATGTTTTCAGAACTGATGTGTACTCAGAAAAGGAGATGAAACTTCCTTTTGCTGTTTCTGTGACTCAGAATTTTAAGACAAATGGTACTTTATGCACCAAACTTACAACTTGAGCCCCCACCAGGTTGTGGTCTAGTACTAGGGCCTAATGTCAGATAAGACAGGGTTTCCACTCTTATAAGACTTTGTCTGATAGAAGAAACAGCTGAGTAAATTAGCAGAGGGTACTGAAGAAGTGAAAGGAGGCAGGTGTTTATGAGATGTAACTACTGAAGGAGTACACCCAAGTCAGATAGGGCTGCAGGGAAGGTACTACGGGCAGCTTCCAGTCAGTGTAGAAGAAGCTTGGTGCACGCTGTGTGCAGGGCCTGCCTGCAGCATGGGGGGTGAGGGGGCGGCCAGAGGTGGGGTCCGGAGCCTGATCAGATTTGCCTTCCCTGAACTAGAGACTTCACAGGGAATACTTTTCATGGAATAGTGGGTGGAAGCCAAATGCATGATCTTGTGGAGTTGAACGTTAAATTAAAAACAAGTCTTCAGGTGGGGCACGCTGGCAGCCCAGCCACTCTGCAGGCTGGGGTGGGACTGGAACCCAGGGTTCGAGTCCAGCCTTAGCAACCTAGACCTTGTCTCTAAGAAAAATCATCAGGCCAGGTGCAGTAGCTCATGCCTGTAATCCCAGCACTTTGGGAGGCCAAGGTGGGAGTATCACTTGAGGCCATGGTTTGAGACCAGTCTGGGCAACTTAGGGATACCTTGTCTCTACAGAAATACTAAAAATTAGTTGGGTGTGGTGGAACATGCTTGTGGTCCCAGTTACTTGGAGGGCTGAGGTGGGAGGATCATTTGGGCCAGGCGGTTGATTTTGCTGCTGTGCCCTAACCTGGACGGCAGTGAGACCCCATCTCAAAAAAAAAAAAAAAAGGAAACTTCAGCAAACCAGGATAAATGTATGCCAGTACAACAAAGGGTTAATATCATTGTCTTGTAAAGCACATCCAAGTATTCCTGAGAAAAGGCACTAGTCTCTTGAAAGAAAAGTAAAGAGTCATTTGCTTCCCTAACCATAAACATGCAAAATGTCATCTTCATTTCATAGTTGTAGGGCTTTTTTTTTTTTTAAAGACAGAGTTTCGCTGTTGTTACCCAGGCTGGAGTACAGTGGCATGATCTCGGCTCACTGCAACCTCTGCCTCCTGGGTTCAAGCAATTCTCCTGCCTCAGCCTCCTGAGTAGCTGGGATTACAGGCACGCGCCACCATGCCCAGCTAATTTTTGTATTTTTAGTAGAGACGGGGTTTCACCGTGTTGACCAGGATGGTCTCGATCTCTTGACCTCGCGATCCATCCGCCTGGGGCTCCCAAAGTGCTGGGATTATAGGCGTGAGCCACCGCGCCCAGCCTTGTAGGGATTTTAATAGGATTTATGTCAGTGCTCAGAAGAGCACTGTGAAAAACTGAGTTTTTATCAGGTGAATGAGTGCAGATTAGATGGGGGTCTCGTGTTGTTATCCATGCTGGTCTGGGACTCTGGGCCTCCAGTGGTCCTCCCGCCTCAGCCTCCCAAAGTGCCCGGATTACAGGCATGAGCCACTGTGCCTGCCCTCCTTTGACCTTTTGACTTCCCCTTAGAGTATTTGTCCTAAATACAGAAAAATGCAGGAAAAAGCATGGTGGACAACGCGTTGCATTTTTACAAACACAGACGTTCTAAAGAGGTTTCATGAGAATGGATGTCCGTGTTTCTCTGCAGGAACAAGCACATCATGATTGACCTGGGGACTGGCAACAACAACAAGATTAACTGGGCCATGGAGGACAAGCAGGAGATGGTCGACATCATCGAGACGGTGTACCGCGGGGCCCGCAAAGGCCGCGGCCTGGTGGTGTCCCCCAAGGACTACTCCACCAAGTACCGGTACTGAGGCGCCCTCAGTCTGCGCGGTCAGTGTTGCGCAGCTGTTCTCGTGCGGAAATGTTTTAAGTTATTCAAAGCCTTTGGAGCTCCAGGGCTGGAGGACCTCTGAGATGGAATTGATTCCGTGGCCTTAACTAACTGAAATAAACAAGCACGTGAGAGGAGCAGTCCTACTTGTTTGTTCCCAGGAAACCCGAATAGATGACTGATCTTCCGAGTCAAAGTTAATTCTTATCCTTGGAGTAAAATGAAGGTGTTTATCCATTAAGGCTTTGTGTTTTGCCTACTTGATTTGTTTGCTGGGGTTGTGTGACAGCAAGCCACAAACTGGATGGGCTCAGCAGAGATGTAGCTTTCACGTCTTCACGGGCAGGAGGTCCAGGATCAGGGCGTCGCAGGGTGGGTTCCTGCTGAGGCTGTAAGGAAACCACTGAGGTCTCTCTCTGGCTTCTGGGGGCTGCCAGCGATCTTTTCCGTTCCTTGGTTTGTGGGTGCTTCGCCCCATCTTGGCCTTCACTGTCAGGTCACATGGTGTCCTCCTTGTGTGGGTGCTGGTCTCCAAATCTCCCCTTTTCCTGAGGACACCGTTTGTGTTGGATTGGGGGCCACCCTGCTCCAGCATGGTCTCATATTAACTAATGACACTTGGCAAGGATCCTGTGTCCACAAAAGTCACAGTCTGAAGTGCTGGGGGTTAAGACTTCAATATGTAGGTTTTGGGGTTACACAGTTCAACCCATGACAGAATCCAAAGGCTTATTACTTTGGTTATAAAAACGGTACAATAAACTGTTGTTTAGAGCCTTCCCTTTAAGGAGTAGGAGATCTATTTTTTTATTTTTCCCAAGATTGTATTTGATGTAAACATATTTTCTGTAGAAGCCATGGCATTTTCAGTTCTTATAGTTAGAAAATTTCCTGATTGGCCGGGCGTAGTAGCTCACGCCTGTAATCCCAGCACTTTGGGAGGCCAAGGCGGGCAGATCATAAAGTCGGGAGCACGAGACCAGCCTGACCAACACGGTGAAACCCCGTCTCTACTCACAATACAAAAATTAGCTGAGCGTGGTGATGCGTGCCTGTAATCCCAGTTTCTCAGGAGACTGAGGCAGGAAAATCACCTGAACCTAGGAAGCAGAGGTTGCAGTGAGCCGAGATCGCACCACTGCACTCCAGTCTGGACAACAGAGCAAGACTCTGTTTAAAAAAAAAAAACGAAAAGAAAAAAGAAATTTCCTTATTACAGTCTCACGTTTCTCTTGCCCCCTTACCCTAGCAGTGTGGATGGGGTTGGTTGGGATCTTCGTGTCCCGTCTCAGCATGCTCACACTTTGACGTGAAAGTGATGGGGGCCCTCTGACCTCAGGCCCAGGCTCTGTCCCCACCGAGTGACCTCAGGCAGGGTACCTTCTCTGAGCTTCCATTTTCTTCTTGGTAAAGGGAGATAAGAGTGTCTGCCCTGCACACAGATACAAACACAGGGAAGCACATGGTGCTTGCTGGGCACAGGAGTGGTGACAGGGCTCACTGCTGTGAGTAGATTGATTGCTGTTGTGAAAATAGAGGTACTTACAGAATGAAGCACATTCTTCACACATGCAAATGAGTGTATGCTATGCTTTTTAAGTGGATTTAAAATTCAAACACAAATCTGCAGTTTAATCTCCCTCGTGCTGATTTTTCCATGTATGAAGTAGAGAGTGTAACACCGTATCAGAGCGAGGGACCAGGGAGAACATCCAAGTGACCTCGAGAACCTGGCATGGAGTAGACACTCAGTATTACACTCCTGGTGTTTCTCCAGAGAGGTGAAACATGGCTGGTAAGCACACAGACACTCAGCATCACTGCTTTTTAAGAAGTGCAAATCCCAGAACCACGGTGAGATGCCGCTTCATACCCACGAGTTCAGCTAGATTCAAAAAGAGATCACAACAAGCATTTGCAAGGATGTAGAGAAGCTAGAGCCCTCACACACTCCTGGTAGGAAAATGGTAAAACAGGCAGGCAGGTCATTGAAAAGTTAAACATGGACTGGGTGCAGGTGTCATGCCTGTATTCCCAGCACTTTGGAAGGCTGAGAAAGGCAGACTGCTTGAGCCCAGGAGTACTCAACCAGCCTGGGCAACTGGTGAGACCCTGTCTCTACAAAAAATTAGCTGGGCATGGTGGTGTGTGCCTGTGGTCCCAACTACTCGGGAGGCTGAGGCAGGAGCCATGGTTGCACCACTGCACTCCAGCGTGGGCAGCCGAGCAAGACCCTGTCTCATGGACATGGTGTTACCGTTTGACTCAGCAGTTTCATACCCAAGAGAATTGAACGCTTATGTCCACATAGAAACTTGTACACAGAAGCCAAAATGTGGAAACCCAAGTGTCCATCAACAGAGGAATGTTTAAAATGTCCATCCAAACAACGGAATATTATTTGGTCATAAAAAGAAATGAAAGTACTGATACGTGCTACAGTTTGGGTGAACACTGAAATCATTAGGTTAAGTGAAAAGCCCGTTGCTGCGTATTGTGTGATTCCATTTATACGGCTTTTCTAGAAGGGGCAAATCCATAGAGACAGGTTAGTGGTTGCTTAAGACTGGGAGGGAGGAAGAATAGGAGGTGATAGCTAGTGGGCAGAGCTTCATTTCTGACGTAATGAAAATGTGCTTACATAAGAGTGAGCATAAAAACAAAAAGTGTCCTAAGATTGTGATAATATTTGGCACAATTCTATCAAAACCCACTGATTTGCATAATTGGTGGATGGTGTGTGAATTATGTCTCGTGTCAGCTTTATTGGCTGTTACCAGAAAAGATAAAACAATGACATTCCACATTTGTAAGTTTATCATGATTTATTGTAAATGTGTTGCATATTGTAATATTCTGCCTGGGACTGCCATCACAAAATACTTCGGGTTGGGTGGTTTAAACAACAGGAACTTGTCTTTTCAGTTACCTTGTCTGGAAATCCCAGATCAAGGTGCCAGTCTGTGTGATTTCTGGAGAGGGCTTTCCTTGGCTTGTGATGGCCACCTTCTCTGGTGCAGGCAGTGGGTGGCAGGCAAGCCCCTGGCGTCTCTTCTCAGAAAGACAAATCCTGTTGGATGAGGGCCCCCCTCAGGACCCATGTAACCTTAATTACTTCTGTAGACGCTCCATCTCCAAATACAGACATGCTGCACTTAGTTAGGTCTTCAGCTATTTAGGGAGACATAAACGTTCAGTCCGTAACATACCAGGTGTAGTACGTTTCTTCACCCTTGATTTTAATAACCTTTTCATTGGTGCTTTGTGACTGCAATACAGTTGAAATCGTAATGATCTGGACTCTAGTCTCAAGTTTATCTCGTTATGTACCTACTGTCTACCTTGCCCTGACCTAAGTGCTTTGCAATTTTCTCAAATCCTTACAACCACCTACCAGGTAGATACTTTGCAGAGAAGAAAACTAAAGTTTAGATTTCCCAGATTACAGCCAGTAGCAGAGGATAAGAATATGAAGTCTGGGGCTGCGTGGCTGCCCAGCCTGGCCTTGTCTGTGGCACTGTAGTGCTGTAGTCAAGTTGCATTAACTAGTTCTTGGGCAGCTAGTGATTTCTGTTTCCTGTCTTCCCAGGATGGCTTCTAGGCAAAGTCCGGAAATTACCAGTGGCAGCTAACTCAGGCAACAAGCCCCTAGGTACAGAATAATCAGGCTCCCTAGAGAAACTGGCAATATGTACACAAATAAAGAAGAATATCGCAGCACTGTTTGGAAACAGTCAAATACAAATTAGATAATCAGAGGACAGTTAGGCAGCAGTTAGCGACCGACCTAGGGCCACACATGTCAACATGAATCAGTACTGAACAAAAAAGCAAGGGGCAGAAGGCTGCATAGAGGGTGGCGCCACCAACACTGCGTTAAGACTTTCAGAATAAGTGTCTGAAGGTGAAGATGCCAGTGTATCTGCAGGAGACTTGACTAGGTGTCTGGGGCAGATTGCCTCTGCTCTGAGCTCACGCAGAGAAGGGATGAGGACTTCAGTCCACCAGCAGAATCGGAGCACTGCCATCCCTGCCTAGGCGAACAGACCACACCCCAAAGTGAAAGTGTAGGGTGACTTCATGGCTCACAGCTTTCTGACCTACAGGTTCAGAGGGTCCCTGGGAAAGCATCTGCGTGGGCACAGGTGGGAGGACCTGCCTACGTGGCGCTGTTCCGAATTGTTTTTTCTACGTCGTCTTTACTAACGGCTTCCAAAGTGCCTCTGATCCCGCATTCTTTTGTGGCGTGTTTACGTTCAGCATCAGAAGCTGTGAGAGGCCTACGGCCCCCCCACAGCCCTCCCTGTGGCCCTCTGTAAATGGTCACGGCTCTCAGCGTGTCCATGGACAAAAGGCATCCTATGAACATGCAAAGCATGTTGAAACTCTTGAAATTCATTAACTGCAAACAGTCTGAGCAGTACTGGGTTGAAGGGTTTGTGCCCGGCTCTGGGCAAAGTGGACCTGGCTGCCGCCTTAGGGAGGAGGTGGTGTGGCGCCCTCAGGCAGGTAACGACAGCAGCAGGGCCTGGAGTGCACCAGGCTCTGCGGACAGGGCAGCTGACCCCAATAGGCACTTTCTGTTTCACTAAGTTTTACTAAAATCGATTTTAAAATTAAATGCTGAACATCAGAATTCATATTATAAAGATTATTACTCAAAAAGTACACTGCGCCCAGCTTAAATGACTTGTTTAAATGGTTACATGAACATATATCTGAAACAGAAACTACTAGTTATAATCCTTAGTCTAATTTGCTGTCATTTGTGTACTATTGAAGACTAAGGAGTAGGGGTAAGAAGCACTCTAATAAAACTCCGTTTTTAAATCATAGAGGTTTTCATTTAAAATGTGTACTTTGGCCAGGCGAGGTGGCTCATACCTGTAATCCCAACACTTTGGGACGCCGAGGTGGGTGGATCACCTAAGGTCAGGAGTTTGACACCACCCTAGCCAACGTGGTGAAACCCCTTCTCTACTAAAAATACAAAAATTAGCCAGGTGTCGTGGCAGGCACCTGTAATCCCAGCTATTCAGGAGGCTGAGGCAGAAGCATCGTTTGAAACTGAGAGGCAGCAGTTGCAGTGAGCTGAGATCATGCCACAGCACTCCAGCCTGGTTGACAGGATGAGACTCCATCTCCAAAAACTAATATTAAAATAAGTGTGTACTTTAAAGAAATTATGTCAAAGCGTGTTTTAGTTGGTCCATTTAGAAAACAGCATTTGTGACTGGGCATGGTGGCTCATGTCTCTAATCCCAGTACTTTGTGAGGCCAAGGTGGGCGGATCACTTGAGGTCAGAAGTTCCAAGACCAGCCTGGCCAACATGGTGAAACCCCCATCTCTACTAAAAATACAAAAATTAGCTGGGCATGGTGGCACATGCCCATAGTTCCAGCTACCTGGGAGGCTGAGGCAGGAGAATGGCTTGAACCCAGGAGGTGGAGGTTGCAGTGAGCCGAGATCACACCATTGCACTTCAACCTGGGTGACAGAGCGAGACTCCATCACAAAAAGAAAGAAAAAGCATTTGGAAATTTATTCCTGGCAATTTTCATGCAGCACAAAGGCAGCAATTCCCATAGTGAACAAATACGGGATTGTATTTTTCAAGGTGAAAGCAATAAAAAAAAAATGTGTAAAAGGTTGACATAGTTTCCTAATAACGACCTTACCATTTGTTCTTTCATAGAATTTTCAATGCCGGCTTGCACCATTAAGTCATTGACATTCTTCTGTAAGTCCTCAATGCGATTTCCCATTTCTTCCAGTGCAACGTTAAGGACCTCTGCACATAGAGCTGGTGTGCAGGGCGGCCGAGGTGAAGCCAGGATGCCCTCAGAGACCCTGCCTCCCATGGCACCTGCCGGCCTGGTGTGCATGGCAGAGCCATGGCAGATGCAACTGTTAAAACGAGGGAATCAACGACAGGCTTAGTGTCTGTGCAAATCAGCTTCTTTCCCTGAGTTTTCCTCAGTGTGTCCCTTTAACTTTTAAACTGTGAGCTTTGAAAATGTGGCTTCCCTTGGTTGGACATGGACTTGAGGACAGGAGATTGTCTGGTTTTTTTATAGTCAAACTCTGGGTGTGTAAAATTAATATAATTGAAATTAATTCTTTTTTGCTTGTTCGTGGGGTCTTGCTCTGACCCCCAGGCTGGAGTGCAGTGGTGTGATCACAGCTTACTGCAGCCTCAGACTCCCGGGCTCAAGTGATCCTCCTGCCTCAGCCTCCTGAGTAGCTGGGACTATAGACTGCCACCCAGCTGAAGTTAACTCTTTAAAAAACTAACATTCATATGGTTTAATTTTATCATGTTTAAGAATCATTTTTGTTCTGGAACCCACTTACAAAATCAAAAGTTGCAGGCACTCAATATTTAAGGAATACATTTAATTGTGTTGCATGAGCTCAAATTGGGCAAGTCTTGGGGCAGTTGTTACCCTTATCTAGATTTGCTCTAAGTCCAAAAAAAATTCTATCCTAATTCTGTTTGTTTTCATGTTACTAGGAAAAAACAGTGAGTTGCTGAAGTTAAACTAAACAAAAGAAAGTTTGGGAGAGCCGTATGTGGTATCCTGTTCTGGAGCCTGCAGCGTTGTGTTCTGCAGGGTTTGATTCCCTGTGAGGGCCTGTGGCTGAGGGTGCATTGCCAGCTGGGGACTGATGGAAGCCCCACTGTGAAGTGTCAAATGCTGCGCTGTTGCCCTTTATGTTTGCTGCACAAAACATCCTGTGTTGCAAGCAGGAGCTTTTGCTGCAGGTGAGGTGTAATTAATGCATCAGGAAGCCACAGAAAAGCATACATGTAAATACTGGGAAATTCTAAGTAAACTATTATCTACGACTAGCAGGCAATGAAAAGATACTCTATGATAATCGACCATTCCGAAAGCACAACATTTGTTAAAGGTAGAAAAGGATATTTCTGAGGTTTAATGTTGCAGTCAGAGCTTGAAAATGTTCCTGAAGTTCTTGAAATAGATTTTCTGCCTGAAAAAAAAAAATAAACCAAAGGCGGTTGAATAAATATTTACTGTTGGCATATATGACTTTTTTTTTTTAAGTCTCGCTCTGTTGCCTAGGCTGCAGTAAACTGCCTCCTGAATTCAAGCGATTCTCCCACCTCAGCCTCCCAAGTAGCTGGGATTACAGGCACACGCCACCATGCCCAGCTAGTTTTTGTACCTTTACTAGAGATGGGGTTTCACCATGTTGGCCAGGCTGGTCTCGAACTCATGACCTTAGGTGATCCACCCACCTCGGCCTCCCAAAGTGCTGGGATCACAGGTGTGAGCCACCACACCCAGCCCACATATGACATTTTAAATATCATGGGTTGGCCGGGCGCGGTGGCTCAAGCCTGTAATCCCAGCACTTTGGGAGGCCGAGGCGGGTGGATCATGAGGTCAAGAGATCGAGACCATCCTGGTCAACATGGTGAAACCCCGTCTCTACTAAAAATACAAAAAAATAGCTGGGCATGGTGGCACGTGCTTGTAATCCCAGCTACTTGGGAGGCTGAGGTAGGAGAATTGCTTGAACCCAGGAGGAGGAGGTTGCGGTGAGCCGAGAGCGTGCCATTGCACTCCAGCCTGGGTAACAAAAGTGAAATTCCGTCTCAAAACAAAACAAAACAAAACAAATATCATGGGTTACACCCGTCCATAAATCTGTTGACTTCTGACAAAGGTGCCAGGCCGTTGGATTCAGAGGGAAAGGAAAGTCTTGGCAACAAGTAGCCTGGTGCTGGAATCATGAGAGGGCCACGTGCAGACCCATCCCCCTCTTCACACCACACACCACACACCACGAAACAAGGGGGAATCACACGCCTCAGCCCAGAGCCAAGACCATAAAAAGTGCAGAGGAGGATGCGGGAGAAAGTCTGGTGACCCTGCCGCGTCTCAAGAATTCTTCAGAAATTACTTACCGGGTTATACAGAAATACCACCACTGCTACTAAAAGCGTTTCCTGTTTCTATACGGGTTTGTAGTTTACAGATTGACGTCCCACACCATTCATGGTGTAATTTACTCCTCACGCCCTGTACTGTGTGCAGGGTGAGATGAGAACAGTGAGGCTGAGAAGCACAAATGTCTCCCAGCTTGGGGTTCAAGATCCCAGGGAGCCTCACGTTCCGGTGTGTGAACCTAGAACCCCCTGGACATAGGACCGCTGAACCATGCCAGGGCTTTCTACCTTTTTCAGGAAATTTAGTTTCAGGCTTGCATAAGGCCCAACACATTCCTTCAAATTCCAGGTCTCATAGCCTGTCCTCCTGTGGGCCTGGAACTCTCTTGGCAAGTAGGAAGGCCCGGGGGCAGGAGGATTTCCAGGAAGAGGCGGGAGCCCTGGGCGCTGCGACACTCGTGGGTCCCCTCTGAAGGGACCTTCGGGCCCCCTTTGGCCCAGCTGTTCCCCTACCGACCTCGATCTCAATGTATCCCAGAACTGCTGGGTTCCCCACAAGACCTCAGATCCCCACGAAGACTTCAGGGCACCCCCAGCACTGCAGGCTCCCCCACTCCAAGGACCTCAGGACACCCCAGGACCGCAGGGGCTCCCCCAGCCAGGGAGGAGCGGAAGCGGGGCTCACCGCGTCCCGCAGCGCGCGCCCGGCAGGAGCTTCGGGGCCCCGCGCGTCCATGTGGACCCCGGATCGGGGGCGTCAGCAGGGGATCCCGCGGGCCGCCTGGACCTGTCGCGAGTTCGCAGCAGCTGAGCTCCGCGATTCCGGTGTGGGCCTCCGGGACGCCTCGGCGGGGCGCGCCGCGTTCCGGGGCGGAGGCGGAGCCGGAGCGGAGAGGCGGGCGCTGCACCTGCAGGGACGCGGCACGTGGTCACTGAGGGGCCGCCTCGGAGGCCAGATCCGCGCTCTCGGACTCCCCGCCTTACCGAGCCGAGCTCTCCGGACAGCCTGGCGGGGCCGCCTCACTTAGGAGGGCCGGTGGGCGCCACCGGCCACCTGCGCCCCCAGAACGCTCCGCACGGGCAATGCCTGGGCCTCGGTCACCCCTGCTGCGCTATCCGGAGACGCGGCTCGCTCTGCGGCCCAGGCTGAAGTGCAGTGGCCACCGCGGCTCCCTGCAGCCTTGACTTCCCCGGCCCGGATGATCCTCCTGCCTCGACCTACCCAGTAGCTGGGGCCATCGGCGCACGCAACCAGGTCCGGGTGACCTGTTCTTATTTTTTGTAGAGATGGGATCTTACTACGTTGCCCAGACTGGTCTGGAATTCCTGGGCTCAAGTGATCCTCCCGCCTCGGCCTCCCAAAGTGCTGGGACCGCAGGCCTGGGCCACCGCGCGCGGCCTTCCCTGCCTCCTGCACACCTGAGTTGTGGCCGACCTTCCAGGACGGTGTGTTTTTAGGGTCACCTGTCTTGCTGTGGTGTCTGTGCCCTGTGCAGCACTGTGGGGGCAGGGTTGTGTCTGGTCACCCCAGCAACCCAAAGGCCCAGCCCAGTCACCACATCTGGAAGCACTGGTGCCTCAATGTGCGGATATATAAAACGCGGCCACCCAGCACCGCCGCTGTGGCCCGACCGTCCCCACCAGGTTACTTCAGGGCAGACGTCCGCGGCCTGAACCCCGAAGGACAGGCGGTGAGTCCAGGCCACAGTGCCCAGCGAGGAGCGGGTGTCCGAGAAACACCGCGGAGCAGATGTGAGAACCACCACGGAGAGCAGGCCCATCGCACACATGACGCAAAGAGCCAGAAAATTAGCTCAAAGCAGCTTAGGGACGGAGGCGCGCCAATCTCCAAGCTGTGCTGCCCACGGGTGCCCCGCATGTGAGTCCTAATAAACTCGCCCACTCGCTAAGCTGGACTCCGCCTATTGTCTGGTTTCTCAGTAACTCCCACTTTGGGGTAAGGTTTTAAATGTGATTCTTGGTTTTTCCCCTTACACCTGGTCATCAGGAAAATACAAACCGAAGCCACATTGAGCTCCCACTTCATCCCACCAGCGCGGCTAGAATCAGAGACAGACATAAGTACGTGGAGGGGGTGTGGGGACTGCGGCGCCGCCCGCAGCTGGCGGGGCTGGGACAAGCTGCAGCGCTGTGGAAAGTTGGTGGGTCCTCAAAAGTGAAGCAGAGTTTCCACAGGGCCAGCCGTGCAACCCCAGGCATATGTCAAGAGAAAGGGCAGCGCGAGTGCGCACAGAAAGGCGCGCACAAATTCTGCAGCAGCATCAGTAAGGAGTGGTCAAAGGATGGAAACCACCCAATTGTCCGCACCCCGACACGAGGGTAACGAAGTGCAAGTGATGGAGTATTTCTCAGCCACACAAAGGAGTGAGGGAGGCGCTGACGCACGCGTGGAGTAGGGGGGCCTCGAAGACTAGGCCAGGTGGCCAGGCAGGAAGACCCTGGTCAGTGCAGGCGCGCGAAGTCGGCTGGTGTTGTGGGGGGCTGCAGGGACGAGGGAGAGTGCGGAGGGGCTTATGGGGTCAGGGGTTTCCTGCGGGGGAGTGGGGGGAACACGAATGTTCTTTTTTTTTTTTTTTTTTTTTTTTTTTGAGACGGAGTTTCGCTTTTGTTACCCAGGCTGGAGTGCAATGGCGCGATCTCGGCTCACCGCAACCTCCGACTCCTGGGTTCAGACAATTCTCCTGCCTCAGCCTCCGGAGTAGCTGGGATTACAGGCACGCGCCACCACGCCCAGCTGATTTTTTGTATTTTTAGTAGAGACGGGGTTTCACCATGTTGACCAGGATGGTCTCGATCTCTTGACCTCGTGATCCACCCGCCTCGGCCTCCCAAAGTGCTGGGATTACAGGCTTGAGCCACCGCGTCCGGCCGGGAATGTTCTAAAATCAGGTTGTAAGAAGGTTGCCGCAACCCTGTGAATATACTGAAACCCGTTGAATTTTTCCCTGTAAATGGGTGGATTTTGTGGTATGTTAATTGTATCTCAGCGAAGCTGTGAAAATAATTTTCTAAAAGCCTGGCCATTTTGCCACTTTTTGTGTCCTTTTAGCATCCTCCTCTTCTTTTCTGTGTTTGAGAGGGGCTGAGACACAAACGCAGTTGTAGGGGCCAGTGTGGAAGGCTGAGAAAGCCGCGGTGTGGGCGGAAGGTGGCTGCTGCACACGCCTGGACCATTGAGGCCCCAGGAATCCTGCCGGACGGCTTCTGCCTTCTGGGAAAGCAGGTGTGGGCGGCTGCTGAGGAGGAGGAGGAGGCGGGGCCCCGAAGATGCCACCGAGCAGGGCGGGCGGCCTGCACGCAGGAAGGTGCCGCTGGGGACCCGGGCGAGCCTGCCTGACATGGTGGGTAAGGAGTGTAAGCCAGTGGAGTTTCCATCAGAAACACACTTCAGTGTCAGGGATCAGAACTCTCTCAAGCTAACTTAAAGGAGAAGCAGGAAATGATTCATGGAGAGAGGAGGCAGACACAGGGAGCTGGCATCAGCCCCTCCAGGCCCTTCAGGGTACTCCTCTCTGGAGGCAGGAAGAGCTGGGCACTGGTGCCCCACGGCAGGGCCACGACAGGGTTTCTCATCAACCCACAGGCACGAAACAAGTCAGACTGCCCTCCTTCCTTCCTTCCAGAAAGTTCTAGAACGTCCGCCCTTCTGTTGCTCTGCAAGTGCTGAGCCCAAGGCCGGCAACTTTACTCCAGTAACAGCCCAGCATCCAGCTCATGGCTGCATGGGATGGTTCCCTCGTGGTGGGGACCCACGCAGACGCAGGGGCTTTCAGCATCTCCAGGGCAGAGCTGCTCCTCGTTCAGGCAGGGCTGGGGCCACAGAGCTCTTCACCGCACTGAGCTTGTGATAAAGTGCTTGGGGCATCTGTGAAGGCAGACTGGTGTCGGGACTCTGGAGAGCTTGTGGGCTCCCCATGGAGCCTGTTCAGATGTTGACCGGCTGCCCCCGGGTACAGGTTCAGGCTGAGCACCCTTGCCTCACGGGCTATGCTTTCGTAACTAAATGAGCAGGGAGCCCCAGTGGTCCCCATGAGCCTGGAACTGGCCATGCAGAAGACAGGAAGAGCCTGTCTGACCTGGGAACACCTCTCTCCTCTCCACATAGCCTTGGCCACGCGCACATTGGGCCGTCCCTCCAACCCAGCTGCTCTTTCAGGTCAGGCTTCTGGGACATCCTGAGCAGGATCACCCAGCATTGCTGCACACAGCAGCCCCAAGCCCCACCGAGATACGCCTGGGGGTCTGGGGAGACGACAGGACTGCCTTTCTTCTCTCTCTCTTTCTTTCTTTCTTTCTTCTTTCCTTCCTTCCTTCATTTCCTTCTTTTTCTTTCTTTCCTTCCTTTCTTCTTCCTCTCTTTCTTTTTCTTCTGTCTTTTTTTTTAATTTTTATTTTTTAGATTGGCTTTTGCTGTGTTACCCAGGCTGGAGTGCAGTGGTGCAATCATAGCTCACTGTAGCCTTGAACTGGACTCAAGGGATTCTCCTGCCTCAGCCTCCCAAGCAGGTAGGACCACAGAGGCACACCACCCTGCCCAGCTACTATTATTATTTTTCTAGAGACAGAAATCTCCCTATGTTGCCAGGGCTGGTCTCAAACTCCTGGGCTCAAGCGATCCTCCCACCTCACTGCCACAAAGTGCTGACCTTACAGGCATGAGCCACTATGCCTGGCCAAGGACTGGCTTTCAAACAAAGCTCTTCAGCTGGATATGATGGAGACAACCCAAGACTACCTTTCAGGAAGCAAAGCTTCAAGAAGCCTTGTGGGCACCCCTAAGAAAGAAGTAGGGGTCCCACATAGGGGGGCCAGGATCCCTCACTGAGCTGGGAAAACAGAAGGCTCGGGGGCTGGAGGTGGCCATGAGGTGGGGGATCATGGCAGTAAGCAAGAGGAGAACCCACAGGGTGGGAGGTCGAGGCGCGAGAGGCATGTCTAAGTCAGATGCTGGAGGTGGAGCCCTTGCAGGAGGTGGCAGAGTCTTCCACGCGGCCAGAGGAACAGGTGGTTGGGACGTGCTGGAAACAGATGCTCAGTGCCTCCGAGAAAAATTAGTACTGGAACAAAGGATCTCTCAGCAAAGCGATTCTTTTCACTTCCTGCAGAAAGAAGACTCCCATAGCAAGCTTGCCACGAGAGTACAACGAACAAAAGAAGGCAGACGTACTTATTTCTTATGCATTTGACGTCGTCCTTACTGCTGTGTCTCATCTCCGTTGGCTGCAGCCGGACCTCACAATCTAAACTAAAACCCGACTGGCTCATAACTTGAAACGTTTCTAAAAGGCAAAGCAATGGAGAGCAAAAAAAAAGGAAGTCCAAATAAGGCAGGGGCGTAGGCTGCGAGCTGGGACCTGCCTGTGAGCATGCTCAGCACAGATGTCTTGGTTAAAGTACAAGGACATAGATGAGCTACGTGCCTGTGAGCATGTCTAACAGCTACACAGGATAGGGCTTCTAGCAAAGAGGCAAGAAGGCCTTTAAATAAAGTGTTTAAAACAATCTATATATCTATATATATAGAGAGAGAGAGAGACGGAGTCTCACTGTCTCACCCAGGCTGGACTGGAGTGCAGTGGTATGATCTCGGCTCACTACAACCTCCGCCTCCCACGTTTAAGCAATTCTCCTGCCTCAGCCTTCTGAGTAGCTGGGATTACAGGCATGCACCACCATACCCAGTTTTGTATTTTTAGTAGAGATGGGGTTTCACCATGTTGGCCAGACTGGTCTTGAACTCCTGACCTCAGGTGATCCACCTGCCTCAGCCTCCTGAAGTGCTGGGCTTACAGGCGTGAGTCACAGCGCCCGGCCCAAAGAAATTACTATTTCTAACAGGCTAGGACAAAGTTCACTGCAGTGAGGGCATC